CCTCCTTCTCCTCCTGTTCCTCTTCCTCCTGTTCCTCTTCCTCTTTCTTTTCCGCCTCAGCTTTGTTGTCCGCCTATTCAGCCTGTTCCTGCGTTTCTCTGACCAGTGTAAGCGCCTCCCTAGAGGTAACAAGAACCCCCCCGCAGCTTTGCCCGCCGACACCGCGGACGACAAAACCCCATTGTTGAATAATTCCCTCATCCTTCCTCATCCTCCTCCTCCTCCTCCTCCTCGTCCTCCTCCTCCTCCTCCTCCTCCTCCTCCTCATCCTCCTCCTCCTCCTCCTCCTCCTCCTCCCCTCCTGCTCCTCCTCCTCCGCCTCGTCACCTCGTCCCTCCTCATCCTCCTCCTCCTCCTCATCCTCCTCCTTCTCATCATCATCACATCATCATCACATCATCATCATCATCAGCATCAATCAGCATCATCACATCATCATCATCATCTAACCATCATCATCATCAGCATCGTCATCGGGGGGGGGGGGTACCCCCATCGTCATCATCATCATCATCCAATTCCCCCCCCCCCATCATCATCATCATCATCATCATCATCATCATGATAATTATCGTCCCACTCCGCCCCGACCATGATGACTCCTCCTCCTCCTTCTCCTCCTCCTCCTCCTTTTCCTCCACCTCTTTCTCCTCACTCCTCCTCCCTCATCCGTCTCCCTTTTCACCTTCCTCCTTCACCCTTTTCCTCATGTCTATTCCCTCCCTCGCTTCCTCCCTCTCGCCAACCTGAAGCTCTGCCGGCCGTGAGGCGCCAACGCCTCCGCTTGGAGATCCGACGTCGGGGAAAAAGCACATCATCGAACAACTCAACCAGAGCCCACGGCGCAATCCTTCTGCGGCATCTTTTCAAGCCAGATCGATCCGTGAGGGGCCCAGGGCCTGAAACGAGGCAAAATCAGTCATGGTGACAGATTGGCGGCGAACCAGGGGGGGAAGTGAGAAGGAGAAGGCCTTCCCAGAAGGCTCGGAAGTCCCCTGGCCTTCTGGAATGTGTCCTAAACCTTCCGCGAAGAGGTCCGAGGGCTTCTGAGAAGTCCAGCCGCATTCTGAGAAGGCCATATCATTATCGTGTCCCCCCTTCGCCCGCCGCTGGACAGAACTTCGACGCCAGGGCCTCAGGGACCCTCCGCAGCCCGACGACGTCGACGACGACAACCAGAAAAACACACGCCCGCTGCCCCTGCAGGCCTGGCGGCGCCATCGAGTCGATCCTGGACAGGACGCGGCCCGGCCGGCCCGCGGGCTCGCGCGTGACCAGCCCCGGAAGGATGGCCATTGCCGTGCCGGCGCGGCATATCGCCGCCGCCGCCGCCACGCAGGCCGCGGCACATGGCAGCAGGGCGGCTGTCCTCCCGGCGGGCACTCCCCTTCTGCACCGACTCCTTCTCCTCATTCCTTTTCGCCGTCCCCCTGGACCCTCCGCCTCCTCATTCCTCCTGCTGCTGCTCCTCCTCCTCCTCGTCCTCCTCCTCCTCCTCCGCCTCCTCCTCCTCCTCCTCCTCCTCCCTCTCTCCTCCTCCTCCTCCTCCGCCACCTCCTCCTCCTACTTCCTTCTCTGCTCCTCCTCCTCCTCCTCCTCCTCCTCCTCCTCCTCCTCCTCCTCCTCCTCTCCTGATCATCCTCCGCCTCCTCCTCCTCCTCCATCCTCCTCCTCACTCCTCCTCCTCCTCCTCCTCCTCCTCTTCTCCTCCTCCTCCTCCTCTCTCCTCCTCCTCCTCCTCCTCTCCTCCTCCTCTCCTCCTCCTCCGCCTCCTCCTCCTCCCCCTCCTCCTCCTCCTCCTGCTCCTCCTCCGCCTCCTCCTCCTCCTCCGACTCCTCCTCCTCTTCCTTTTCCTCCTCCTGCCGATCGTAATATTTTCACGAAAGGGATACTATTGCGGCGCAGCGCGTGCGAGGCGGCGACTGAGCGACGGGGCGGCGACGGCGTCGACGTGGCGGCGACGGCGGCAACGTTGCCGCTGGACCGACAAGCAGGCCCAGGCGACGGGTAGCGACGAGGCGGCGACGGGGAGGCGCGGCGGGGGCGCTGGCCCAGCGGTCAGCGTGGCGCTGCGCGCCGCCACGGCCCGCCAGCTGCGCGGCGCGCTCGGCCGGGAGCGCGCGCGCGCCGCCGGCGCCGTGTTGGCCGAAGAATTCGGCGGCCAGCCGCCGTTGCCTGCCTGGCTGCTGTGGCAGGCGGAGGTGGGGGGTTAGCGGTGGGCTACTGGGTCGGTCGTCTCGGCGTCGGAGATGCTCAGGGGGTGCGGTTTCGTGCGTTGAACCCTGCCACCGGCGCCTTCGGTGGAGCCCCCTATGTGGCCACGATCCTCGCGAGTGGTGCGCCGAAACGGCCCGAGGACGCCGTGCGAACCCTGCCACTGAGGCCTTCGGTGGAGAACCTATGGAGCCACGATCCTCGTGAGAGGTGCGCCGAAATGGCCCGAGGCCGCCATGCGAGCCCTGCAACTGGGGGCCTTCGGTGGAGCTCCCTATGGGGCCACGATCCTCGTGAGGGGTGTTCCGAAATGCCCCGAGGCCGCCATGCGAACCCTGCCACTGGCGCCATCGGTGGAGCTCCTGTGGGGCCACGATCCTCGTGAGGGGTGCGCCGAAATGGCCCGAGGCCGCCATGCGAGCCCTGCAACTGGGGGCCTTCGGTGGAGAACCCTATGGGGCCACGATCCTCGTGAGGGGTGTGCCGAAATGGCCCGAGGCCGCCATGCGAACCCTGCCGCAGGCGCCTTCGGTGGAGCCCCCTATGTGGCCACGATCCGTGTGAGGGGTGTGCGGAAACGGCCCGAGGCCGCCATGCGAACCCTGCCGCTGGCCCCCTCGGTGGAGCTCCCCATGGGGCCACGATCCTCGCGAGGGGTGCACCGAAATGGCCCGAGGCCGCCATGCGAACCCAACCACTGGGGCCTTCGGTGGACCTCCCGATGGGGCCACGATCCTCGTGGGGGGTGCGCCGAAATGGCTCGAGGCCGGCATGCGAACCCTGCCGCTGGCGCCTTCGGTGGATCTCCCCATGGGGCCGCGATCCTCGCAAGGGGTGCACCGACATGGCCCGAGGCCGCCATGCGAACCCAACCACTGGGGCCTTCGGAGGAGCTCCCTAGCGCTGCACTGGGCGGATGAAACGCAGGGGGGGGGAGGGGGAAGGGGGGGGAGGAGGGCAGGAAGGAGAAAGGAACGCGGAGCGCCGTCTCTTCAAAACGAAGACCCAACACCACAGGATGGTCGGGAACAAAACAGCTCATTGGTTGTTTGGCGGGGCCAGGGCGGGGGAAACAATTAGCCTGGCGCAGGACCCAACCATATGCAGCTGCGACTACCGCATGGATATGAGACGAAGGAGGGGGCACGCAAACTAGGCCCCTCTTCTCATAGGCACCGCGCCACTGGGGCCTTCGGTGGAGCTCCCTATGGGGCCACGAAACGTGCGAAGGGTGTGCCGAAATGGGTGGTGGGGAGGCATGCGGACCCTGCCACTGGGGCCTTCGGTGGAGCTCCTTATGGGGCCACGAAACGTGTGAGAGGTGTGCCGAAATGGGTGGTGGGAGGCAATGCGAACGCAGCCACGTGGGGCCACTTGTAGAGCTCCCTATGGACCACGAAACGTGTGAGGGGTGTGCCGAAATGGGTGGTGGGGAGCCACTGGGGCCTTCGGTGGAGCTCCCTATGGGGCCACGAAACGTGTGAGGTGTGTGCCGAAATGGGTGGTGGGGAGGCATGCGAACCCTGCCACTGGGGCCTTCGGTGGAGCTCCCTATGGGGCCACGAAACGTGTGAGGGGTGTGCCGAAATGGGTGGTGGGGAGGCATGCGAACCCTGCCACTGGGGCCTTCGGTGGAGCTCCCTATGGGGCCACGAAACGTGTGAGGGGTGTGCCGAAATGGGTGGTGGGGAGGCATGCGAACGCAGCCACTGGGGCCTTCGGTGGAGCTCCCTATGGGGCCACGAAACGTGTGAGGGGTGTGCCGAAATGGGTGGTGGGGAGGCATGCGAACCCTGCCACTGGGGCCTTCGGTGGAGCTCCCTTATGGGGCCACGAAACGTGTGAGGGGTGTGCCGAAATGGGTGGTGGGGGAGGCATGCGACCCTGCCACTGGGGCCTTCGGTGGAGCTCCCTATGGGGCCACGAAGAGTGTGAGGGGTGTGCCGAAATGGGTGGTGGGGAGGCATGCGAACGCAGCCACTGGGGCCTTCGGTGGAGCTCCCTATGGGGCCACGAAACGTGTGAGGGGTGTGCCGAAATTGGTGGTGGGGAGGCATGCGAACGCTGCCACTGGGGCCTTCGGTGGAGCTCCCTATGGGGCCACGAAACGTGTGAGGGGGTGTGCCGAAATGGGTGGTGGGAGGCATGCGAACGCAGCCACTGGGGCCTTCGGTGGAGCTCCCTATGGGGCCACGAAACGTGTGAGGGGTGTGCCGAAATGGGTGGTGGGGAGGCATGCGAACGCAGCCACTGGGGCCTTTCGGTGGAGCTCCCTATGGGGCCACGAAACGTGTGAGGGGTGTGCCGAAATGGGTGGTGGGGAGGCATGCGAACGCAGCCACTGGGGCCTTCGGTGGAGCTGCCTATGGGGCCACGAAACGTATGAGGGGTGTGCCGAAATGGGTGGTGGGGAGGCATGCGAACGCAGGAGGGAGGAGGAGGAGGAGGAGGAGGAGGAGGAGGAGGAGGAGGAGGAGGAGGAGGAGGAGGAGGAGAAGAAGGAGAAGGAGGAACGCGGGGACCGTCTCTTCAAAACATGGACCCAACACCACAGGATGGTTGGGAAAAACATGGGGCGAGTGATGGTTCTCTGTTTGTATTCCAATCTTATTGAAAATCCGCACGCACGGATTCTATGTGAGATTATCACCATAGCGGGTTTTCAGCAGAACGTCTTTTAAGTGGGCGATTTACACATAACTTTCTATGGTGTATATCACAACTCAAAAACAAGAAACCGTCGTCTCGTGCATTTTTTCCGCCGCGCCATGGCCCCGAAAAAATATAAGGGGGGGCGATGCTGTTTGGCTAGCTATAGTTTTTTCCTTTCGGAGGTCCCAAACTTTGCCCGGCCTTCATTTGCAAGAACTTCCCGTTGTGGGAGATGTACAAATGAATTCCTATTGCGTAGATTACAATGTAAATCCCCCCGCGCCGCTTCTCATTCGGATTTCAAAACAGACCCAGGCGCGACGGAGAAGATGAGGAACTGGAAATACACAAACCGAATAGCCAAACAACTTCAAACCCATTAACGTACACCACGAAAGCGGCCCCCAAAACAATTCTTTGTTTACCCCGCGCTGGGTGGGGCGTGAAACTCGCCCCCGCGGGCGGCGGCCGCCAGTGCCAAACCCTGCCCGCTGGCCGCCCGCTTCGTTGCCGGCGCGTCGAGGGGGGGCGCGGGCAGGCGGCGCGCGCTCCTGCGCGTCGACTCACTAAGGTTGAGGTGGAGATAAGAAGGGCGGAAGCATGTGGACGGCGCCCCCAGCAGCGGCGGCCCCGGGCGGGGAGGAGCGACCCCGGCTAGCTCGGAAGACAGGGGGAGATTGCACGCCCATCTGGATGGCTCTGACTGCGCTTTGTCCCCCCGGCACTGCGCCCATAGTCTCCTCCCTGAGCTGCTCTGCCCCCCCCCCCCCCCCCCGCAGCTGCGACCCCCCCCCCTGTTTTTGCCGCGGGGGCATTCGCCGAAAAGGAAACTGGCGCCTGTTTCTGTTACCGCGGCCCAGTCCGTTGTGGTATCCGGCGGGCCCCGGGGGCTCCAGGGACTGTGTCCAGCGGCCCCCAGTTGCGCCCAGGCGGCGCTGTCTTGACCGGGCGCCGGAGCCACGCGCGACGCCCCCGAGGGGCGCGGAAAACCCTCTCTGTTTGCACCCCCCCTCCCGGGGAGGCGCATTCCCGGAGAGGGCGGGGGGGGGGGGGGGCGCGCTCCGGGGGAGGGCGCGCGGGCGCCGGCTTGCCCCCCCCCCGAAGGGGCACAGTGTAAAACGACTCGCGCGGGGCAAGCAGGCCGCCACGTTGCCGCGTCGCGGTTCCGCGCTGCCCACTGAGCCACCCCCTCCGCGCACCTCACTGCCCGCACGAGGCCCCGCGCTGCCCGCCCAGGTCGGGCGGGGAGGACAGCGTGAGATGCTACAGATGCGAGGGCACGATGGAGCGCGAGAGACAACCGCCCGGCGGCGTTCACATCCTCTCTCGGAGCGGCTGGTTGCTGCAGCTGCGACGAGCGGCGCGCCCAGGGCCGGCGGGCGCCCTGCGCGCTACCCGGCGCGCGCCGCACGAGCACGAAACAAGCCCGAAAACTTCTAAAAGAACGCATAATTTGGCAGCGCCAGCCCCCTCCCCACCAAAACGTCGTTCTACACCCAAAAACTTTGA